ATTTTCATGTTTCGAATATTTTAAAAATAAGAGAATGGAATCAAACAATAGGTTAAAAAAGGGAAGAGAATAAATATATTTAACATAGAGATAAAGAAAAGTGAAGAAGATATAAGGAGATACTCGTAAACTCCTACGGAATTTAAGAAGATATAAATATAGCTGTATTTCCGGTCTTAAAAATTTAGAATGTGGAAGTAAAAAGAAAATATTATTTAAAATCATTAAATATGTTAAATCGCCGGGGTGGCCCAGTGATGTGTGATAATGCTTGTAAACCGAAGATCCCAGGTCCAATCCTGGTAAGGAGTTAAAAAAATTCGGGTTTTTCTCCGATGATGGATGGCTTTAGACATATGATATGATAAATTTCTGAGCCGAGAAATGCCGCCCAGGTCACCGACAGGCTTGGACAGCCAGGTGCTAAGATACTTGTCCAATAAACCTAAAAAGAGGGCCAGCTGAATTCGTGATGTCTACCAATACAATGGACTTGATAACGATACTACCGTGGGAGATCCATCGGGATTGATACTCCAGTGGGAGATCAGGATTGGGATATCTGTCGATTTAATTCGGTGTGAGGAATATTCCGGTGGGATATCTGGTCGATATTGATTTGATACACCGGTGGGAGATCAAGATACTTTGGCCTCGATAGCGATACACCGGTGATCGATACAAATGAAATCGATCAGAAATACAAATTAGATATAGATAGCATGAGTAATAATAAAGTAGAGGTAGATAGTGAAGGAGGTTACCGCCAGAAAAGGTGAAAGCTAAAAGGGAAAAAAAAATTATATAGAAATACTATGGAGATTCGCACTTGTATTTTAGGCTTTATGGAGCTGATATACCGGCCCATGTAGGACCTTGGATATATTTTTATGGGTACCGAGTTCGATGCCGGAGAAAAGAAGGTTGGGTTCACTCAGGCCAAAAATTCTGAAAATGAATAAAAAAAACAGTTCTTTTTCACATACTTAAAAAAGGGAAAATATAAGAAATTATATATATTTTTTTGATTTCATAGTATTATTTAAAATATACAATTTTATTCTAATTGACTCCTTTTTATTTTATTAACATCTTATTTGTATTTTTCTTAAATACCAAAAGGGGGGTTATTGATAAACTCCTATATATTTACTTGCGATCTCGAATAAGTTTATGAGTTAAATTTATGCATACTGGATAAAATAAGAATGATTTGCTTGTCAATGATCTAGATTATTTTATTTCGAAATTTTATATTTAGTACATTTATGATCCCGAATATTATAATCATCACATAACTTTCATTTTATAATTCTGTGCATTTTATTTTTGTTTTGTAATCCTTATTTATTCAACAAATTATGAATAAACGTATTTATTTTATAAAACTATATTATAAATTTTGTAATTTGAGTTTTAACAAAAAACGGTTAAGACTGGAGGTCTGCATTGGGCGGGGTTTCAGCCCGCACGCCCATCTTAAGAACAGGCAGGCGGGCGGGTTAAAAAAATTTAAAATCATTTAAGTAAATGTTAATAAAAAATTGTTCTTATGAACTTTTTTGGATATTAAAAATTAAAATTTTTGGTCTCAGAAAAACTTTTTTCTTAAAATAAATAAACTTTTTGTATATTGGTGGAAAAGAAAAGTTAGAGATTTGCCAATGCTATCTAGCATGAAAAATATTGACAATTCCAGCAACTAGTGCTTCCTGAACGAGAATTTAGTATTGCTGGAAGGTTTATAGAACAAAGAAGAACGTGTTTGAATCCAGAAAATGTCGATTCATTATTATTTTTGCATTATTAATTACATATAATATCAATTTTATATTTATATTTATTTTCATATATATTTTATTTGATCAAATAAATTATCCAAAATTTATGAGTATTTTTTTATGCTTACAAATAAATTATCCATAATTTAAATTGAGTATTTTTTTATGGTTACTATAGTTATTTCCTAAAAACTTTTTGTAGAGGTGTAATGCTGAAATTTTTTTTATTATATGCTTAAAAAATTGAATGGCCATAATTAAATTTTATAATATAGGGCTTGGGTTAAAAATTTTTTATAAATGGGTGGGCGGGTAAAAATTTTAGACTAATGGGCGGAAGAGTAAAGAAATTTAGACTAATGGGCGGGTATATTTTTTTGGAAAACTATTGGCGAGCTGGGAGGGTGGATTAATTTTTTTTAAAACATTGGGTGGGCAGACTTATGGTCCAAAAACCCGCCCAAAGCAGACATCTAATTAAGACCTTTTTACCTTATAGTGGTAATTATTTTTCTTTCATCTCATGGTGACATTGACCTTTCATTATAGTATCCTTTTATAATTAGACAGTGTTGCGTAGGCTAAGCTTAATCAAAAAATTGGCTGGCCTAATTTAAATTTTAATGATTTTGTACTTTTTTATAAATATTATAAAAAGTGAAGTCTATATGGTTTTTTTAAAAAAATTATTTTTGGACAAAAAATTAAAAATTTAAATAGTAAGACTTTAAACGATTCATAACAAGATTATTATAAAATATTTAAAATCGAATAGGTTTAATTTACTTTTATGAAAGTGTTCAAAAACGACAATCTTTTTTTGAAGTTTAGTTTACTCTTTAAATTTTATTTTTTATTAAAAGATTCTTAGTTAATTTATCCCATAATTACATTTAATTTTTTTTCTTCATCGAGGAAGGTTAAATTGTGGTTCTACGGTACATATAAGATGGATTCTCATTTATATCTAAAAAAATTACTCTTAATAGAAAGAAAGGGTAGGTCTTTTCATCTTTTCTAATTTTGGTGAATCCTTCACAAATTATTGTTAATTTATTTTAATTTTAAAACATCTAAGCCAAAAAAAATTAATAATTATTCTCGTAAAAAAATAGGGTAGGAGCGGGGAGAGGTTATATAAATAAGGCCTTGACACCAAAAAAAATATCAAAGAAAATTAATTTTTTTATAAATTTTGGGAAAAATGATTAATTTATTATTTGTTTAAAAAAATAAATTGATTAGTTACATATTTGAAGCAACATTTTGCTCATAAAGAAGTTCAAATTGATATTATCATTTGAAGTGAATTATTTCTGAGTCAATATCCAAAAATTCGGAATTAATGTCGCGATTATTTTTTTTTGTAAATTTCTGTGTATGAAAAAAAAATGAATGATATAATTTCCAAAAAAATTGATTAAGATATTTAGACACCATAATATTTCTCAGAGACCTGCAGGTCGGCCCATGTACATGGGTCGTAATATTTATAAATATACCCGGGCCGGGCCTGAAAATTTCTGTAAATTTTAAATCGCCATTATTAGCTATAAAAATTAAAAGTAAATTATATTTTAATTAAATCCGGGCCGTTCTTGAAAATATAAAACCCAGGTCAGGCCGAAAAAAAAATTTTGAAAAAAATCCGGGCCGGACAAATGGTATTTCTGCAGGTCTCTGATATTTCTATTGGCCCGAGCCATATTTAACTTTTTACATCCTAAGCCTGGCTTTAGGTGAGTTAAGGAAATCAGTTGACTAGTCCTTAAAATATCAAGCCATAAAGTATCAACTGTAAAAAGGTAAGTAAATTATTTACTTTCATGTAAAATATATCGATATTCACATTAACTGTAAATTTGAGAATCCTAAATATAGTTTGTTACATTACTTTATAATTAAAATTGTGATAACAAATTATTTAAATTAATATTTGTATATTTTCTTGCCAATTTATTAATGAAACTTTCATTTTGTATTTATCTATTGTTTTTTTGGTCGTCTAACATATAAAAATGCTTGAAATTATGGAATGTAAATATATCTATTAATTCTTTACAACGTGCCAAATTTTTTGCCTCAAATATTATTTTTGCTCGCTTACCTATTAAACTCAATATATTTTTTTTACTCCGTTGTTTTTTATATCTTGGGCTTGATCCAAGCTGATATAATAATCAAGTAAATATTAAAAAAAAATTATAACATTTTAAATTTCGGGGTTAGTAAACTATTAAATTAGAATTTTACTTATTTTTCAGAGAAAAATAATTATAGTATATTGGGCTTATCGTCTTAGCCGACATAACCCTTGAGAAATTTATAGGGTCACACCTAGTGTTGTTAAACGGCTCGATTTGAGTCGATTTTAAAAAACGACTAACTAAATATTTTTGCCAGAAAAATATTGCCTAAACCTCGAGATTTTGCTAATAGATGTCCAAACTTTTTGGCCATCTATGACAAAAATCTTCAGGCTTGCGTAATATTTTTCTGGATAAAATATTGAGTTAACCGTTTTTTAAATCGACTCAAATCGAACCGTTTAACAACACTAGGGTCATCGTGGACACTAAAGTTTAAAAAAACGTGATGTCATAAAATCAATTTTCTAAACATACATGAATAAAATATTTAATTATATTTTTAATGAGTCTTTTTCAAGATCAAAGATTTTTCATGAATTTTGATTAGCTAAAAAAAAATTTAATATTATAATTTCAAGATAAATAAGACTTTTGAGCTACAAATTTATTATTAATGATAAAAATTAATATTTAATTAATGATAAATTGTTTTTAATGCATTAAAGTTTGGGCCCAAATTAACTCCATAAATGATTTGGAGTTATTTTTTATAATGAATGAATGTTCTCAAGAGTTAATAAGTAACCGAATTGTTAGAATCAAAATCTTATCCTTGGGGACTCCCATTTTAATCTAACTCCCCCAAATAAAAAAATATAATTGCTCATAAGAGAAGTTAGAACCATATAATAGTAAAAAATATATGTAGATTGTATTTAAAGGACGTTATTAAGAAAAATCCAGAGATAATTATTTTAAAATGATTTTATTCTATAATATATTTATTTTGTTTGAAAATATAAAATGTAATTGATAATGATATTACATTGACCGCACTTTGGTGTTGGTCAAAGTAAATCGAGAATAAATGGTAAAAATAATATTTATAAAAAAGCATGATAGACGATGATAAAATTTTAAAAAGATTTATTTTGACGATATTTTATATATTAAAATATTTTTAAAAATATAAATCAGAATTATAAAATAATAGATTTATAAATTGGTTTTTATATATTATATTTGATATCAGATTTAAATATATTAACATTTTAAAATAAGGTAAGAATAAAAAATAAGGTAGTGACTATATGTTTTTTTAATAAATATAAATAGGCATAGTTTTATATGATATAACACAATACAAATTAGGATTTTAAAAAATAAATAAAATCCCTAAGAAGGGACCAAAAAATAAATGATAAAAGTGAAAAGGTTTAATGGGATTACATTATCATATTTATATTTGATGCAATTATCATCTAATAAAGGATAATTATATAAATTTTTAATATTATTGATAGCTACTAAATTTTGTCTAAATCTACTACTAGATTTTTTTGTTAACTACAAAAAAAATATGATTAAATATATTTGAGAACAAAAAAACATTTATATTTTAAAATTTTTCTGAATAATAATTTTATTAATAAGGATGAATAATGTCCAATACTTTGTGAATATCATACTGCTTCATCCTAAGCAACTGTGTTAACCACTCGCCTTCATTAACGTACCCCATGGATTCTAATTGCTTGAGGGCTTTATCTAATGCGGCTTTGGTATCAGAATTTTTATCCAAATCATTGTCGGTTATTGATGAGTGATAATAGTTATTTTCGTGCAATTGTTTTTTAGGAGTTTCAGTAGGAAGGTCCTCTTCTGCTAAAACAGCAGGTTCTGTAACTTCTTTGTGTCCCTCTTGTTGCTGAGTGGTAGAGATAGCCGATCTAGATAATGAGTTGGAGAGTAAGTTGACACTGGATGATGATGAGGGAAGTGGGATTGAGGTCGAGTTCAAAATTTCTTCTTTGTTCACCATGTGCCAGGAGTTGTATTCTTTAAGAGCTTCCTATTATAAATAAATTGTTTAGTCATTAATTTATTGTATATTGTATAAAACTCATTTAATAAATATCAGATTTCGAGTAATCATCATACATACATCTCTGCTCTTTATAAAAATAAAATTTTATGACAATCTAAATAGAGCATTTTTATTTAAAAATGAGTTTTAAAAAAAATTAAATATGAATTTCAAAAAAAATTAGGACCAAAAAAATAAAGGTAAATATAAAGGTGGATACAGACCAAATATTATAGAATTAATTCAATAAAATTATTATATTAAAAATTTAAAATAATTAACAAAATGAAATATGTGGACAATTTGGGCTATATTTCTTTATACAAAACTCAAAATTAGATTTAAATATTTGTAGGATTTGGTCATTAAACTAACCCTGAGCACATCCAGCCCAGCAGTCCATATTTAGTTTAAATAAAATTGATAAAGGTGTCACGGTTTTTTTCTAGAGTTAGACAATCTATTAATGATTCCATGCAAAACGAACAAATAATTTGGACAAATGTTTTCAAACTAATAAAACTTGGTTGTTTGTTATATATATTGTAAAATTTATTTAAATCTTTTAAAGATCTAGCTCAACTGGATCCGGAGCTATGGATTTACTGAAAAATATAACTTAAAAAATATAATGTGAAAATTTAAATATGATATCATAATTAATTATAATTTTTGTGATTTATTATTAAATTTTGAAATTGAAATATATTTTGGATTTGTAATTTATATTTTCATTTGTATTATAAACCTAAATCACGTGTTAATAATTTAAAACGTCATCACCTATGGATATCTAAATCGTTGAAAGTGATTCAGACAATGATATTAATGAAATGGAAGATACCAGGGAAGAAAATGTTCATAATAGCTATAATAGAAATTTCCAATTCCCTAGATTTGAAAATTTTTTTAAATAAATATAAAATCCAAAACTGGTTTCAAATTTATTTGTTTAAAAAACCACAAAAAACACCTAAAGGTAAATTGTCATTTTTACATTCTTATAATATTTATTTTATAAGACTGTTCATGAGTTTTAAATGGAGAAACATCTAAATAATTTTGGTATAGGCTACTCTACATCCAGACTAATTCAACTCAAACCAAATTAATTAATAATGCAAATGACAATATTTCTCAAAAATTGACTGATAAAGTTATTGTTGATTTTATAATTTATATAGCTCAGCCAATGTCCTTGGTTGATAATCTATCATCTTTAAAATGATGAAAGATGCTCTAATAGTAGAGTTATCAGAGATATCATATATATGTACCACCGCAGATAGTTGGACACATAACAGAAGTAATATTTTTGAGCTTATTTGGGAATCACAGGCCATTGGCAAGACCCTAAGACTTTAAAAGGAAGATCTGTGGCATTAGCCTTCAAAATAATAATAGGATGCCAGACATACGATGTACTTGCAAATGAAATTATTGATAATCTATCTTATATTAAAAATATGTATATAAGATTAAATATACCCTTACCCTCAAATGATAGTGTCGAGAGATTATTTAGTAAGGCAAAACTTATACTATCTGATTGTCGCTCTAGACTTGGGGCTGATAATATTTTATTAAAATGGTACAAATTACCACAAATATTTATTTTTATTGCATAAATTTTTTTATAATCAAAACTAACTATATTTTAATATTTATAAATGTTGATTTTTATATATTTACTATACAATAACATTATAAGTAAAAAATAAAAAATTTGTTTGAATTTTTTTTATAAAAAGTAGCTAAGCTACTTATAAAAAATAGTAGCTAATAGCGAGCTACTTTTTTTGACAAATAGCGATAGCGCTCTACTTTTAAAAGTAGAGTTTAACAACTCTGATTTATTCATTCAGAATAATCTAATATCTCACATTTTTAGTTTCTTTTCTAAGCCTAATAACAAATATATCTTATTTGACTGTACGATTTTCACAAAATAGATTACTTGGACCTAGGTATAAGAATGTATTATTTAATATTAATTAAGTAATTAATAATAGTATAAAAATTGAAAATTATAATTTAAGCAATATTATTGATTCTCATCAGTTTATTCCATTCCCATGCAAAAGTTGCCACAATGAAAATTTTGTAGGAATTTTCCAGCCCCAGCAAAGATATACTTATATATTTAAAAAGTGTTTGAAAATCAGTTATTTTATTTATAACATAATAATCATCGAAAATATAATACAAAAACCTTTAAATTAATAAAATATCCAACTCCACCATAAAAATATTATTAATCTTTTTAACTTTATTTGTAAAATATTATTAATCTTTTTAACTTTTATTTGTAAAATATTATTTTAATATAATGAAATATTTTTCGATAAAGATAAAAAAAACTAATTTGCTCTTAATAACTCTAAAATAGAAGGTTCTATAAATTATCAAAATCAATGAGAGAAAGCAGTCTATCTTACTATAGGCTTGAAATTAAAAAATCTAGTCTGTTTCTGTAGGTATTTTCTATATTTAACATAATTTAATAATAATGATCAACTATCAATGTATAGCTAGCTTTCCTATATTTTGTTTTTTAACTCCCAAAATTAAGAAAAACGAAATAATATTTATCCATTATTTAAATACCCTGGTGGTAAACATCTGGTGAGTTTTTACAACAAATTGAGGTTAGCTCAAAATAATTCATTTTGGTTTTACCAAAAATATATTGGCAAGTATGTTTTTTTAAAGGTTATTATACATTTTCCATAAAACGAATTTTTTACAAAATGATAATTTAAATATTTGAACAAAATAATTATCAAGCAAATTGAGATTCTTAACACCAAGTTTGCATCTACAATTGACTTTGAGAGTTTATAACTCCAAATCCATTTGTTAGAGTTAACCTTTGATAATATTAAAGTTACCCTCTTTATAACCATCATACAAAGGTTTATTCATAATTTATACATAAATATATTTTCTTAATTAATAAATTTTATTAAGACGCTATTTTATCAGATCAAATCGGTAAATTTAATAATATCGGTCAAAAACCGATATACAAAAAATCAGCCCAATCCGATAAAAAATAAGTGCATCCATAATATTATCATCGTATTTTCAAATACAAACATATTTATTCATTTCCTTTATGAATTGAAGTATTTATATTCTTCATGTAAATTGTATTTATTATATAATTTAGGTCTTTTAATAGCTCTCAGTCCAACTAAAAATGTCATTCTGATCAGCTACTTGAGATAGCTATAAAAATATTTTAATAGTTGTTTGTTATAATATTTTAATCCAACTTTTCAAAATAAGAATCCATTTAATTTAAGATTTTTTCTTTTAATTTATGATTATTTTCTTAATTGAAATTAAATGTCTATATAATCATTAAATTTTATTTAAGATTTTTTAATATGTCTAAATTAACATTTTATTCATATTAATTAAATTAATTCTACCTCATGTATATCAATGTAATCGTTATATTTTTCAATGATATCCATTTCATCATCTTCCGAACCTTCAACATAATCCTCAGTCATTGCTTTATATAATGTAAAAAATAGAAATTAATTGTATTTTGATCAGGATTCTAGATTACCAGCTCCTAGATACATAATGTATATTACCCATCCTTAATCAAACAGAAAATCTTTAGGGCCCAGATCAAGTTTCATTTTTTTATAAAAGTAATCTTATTTTTTGTTAATTTGATTTATTTTCCTGGAGCACATAAGATATTTTATTTTTAATTACTTCATTTTATCAATATTTTTTAACTAGTAAAACGTGATATCAATCCTACAACTTTATTTTCAATGATATTACATTATATTTTTTAGAGAAAATTTGGCCATTTACATCTTAATTTATTTAATAAAAACAATGATTTAGTTTTATTTGATTAAAGTATCAGCCTTTTTATTAAATAAAAACAAGTAAGAGTTAATTTTTTTAAGCAATTAAATTTGACCTGTGGATCCCTTTTACTAAGCCCAACTTAAATTCTGTACATACAATATATAAGATTTCAGAAATCACATCTTGCTATAGTGATCTGCCTTGGGTTTAATTTTTCAAACCTGGTCTAACTCAATTGTATTTTTCCCAAATAAAAATTATTTGTCTTTCAAACTTGGCACAAAAATATTTAAAAATAAAATTCATCCTTTTTAGTTTTTTTTAACTAATTATGGTTATTTTGTGAATAGATTCATCTTCATTCAAATTAATACGCAAAATATTTGTAAATATACTTTTATATTGCAATATAGTTTTACATTTTCTACATTGCACAATCAAGATTAATCTTTATCATCAAAATTTTTCTATATTTTATTCTTATAATTTATATGGTAAACTGTATTAAATTTTATTTAATATATTTAATTCTGAGATTTTTACTTTTATTAAAGCTGAGCCGATACACATACTTTTAACCAATCCAATCGGATATTGATTCAAAACCGATCCAATATTTATATTAATTTTTCCCCACCCCTCTTTGAACCAAATGTAATTAAGAAATAAATATTTTTTTATGCAAAAAATAAAATTATGCATTTAATTTAATTTTTTTATTTCTACAATTAAGACTATAATTAAAAAAAATAATATTATTTTTGTCTTGTTTAAAATATTTCCTTAATTAACATATCATATTTAAAAAAATTCTTTTATTTAAAGTATTAATAGTAAAATTGGTGTTATTATTAAAAAGATATAAAAAAACTTTACGGGGTGTTGTGCATTTGTATTGTTTAAAAAACATTACTTAGAAAATATTATAATAATGTAAAATAAATATACATAAAATAAAATAACAGGATCGTTTTTTACGGGAATCAACCCAATCTGATATTTTTGGAAAACACTAAATATCAATGCCAATCCAATATTTAATATCGGAACAGCTCTAATATTTATGCACAAAATAGGAGATATAATATTTTTTAATTTGGAATATTCTGCCAACAATTTATTTTCAAACTCTGAAAAATATATGTGCCTTGTTTCCTGAAAAAAATTTAATTTATATTTTATTTCACAAAATTGAATCACAATATATTTTAAAATATTAGGTTCAACCCAAAATATATCACCCAGGCCCAACTTTCACAGATCTCTAATATCCATATTTCAAGGGTGAAGATATTCAGATATAAGTTAATACTTAAATCAATTTGTAATCTATCATATTAAATAAATCACGGACATGATTCTACAGAAAAAAAATCTTATAATTATTTTTAAATTAACTCATAATAATTTTTATTGAATTTTCAAACATAATCCTCCCTTTCCCAAAAAGTGAGTTTGAGTTTAATCTGAGGAATTTAGCCTATTAAATTATAGAATAATTTTACTTATTTTTGAGGTTTCATCTTCTAAAATTGTAGCTTTATTATCTTTTGTCTTATCTTTCTCTTTGTGTGATACTTCACCATCATCTATAATATCTTTAACTTCAGATTTAATATTTTCTAAATTATATATATCAGGTTTAGTATAAGATTCTTGGTCAATATTTATATTAGGCAAAGTTTCTTGATTTGTAGATTTAGATTCTTCTACAGTATTGATATTAGTTTCAGCTGAACCTAGATTGATGGATGATGTGTCACAAGGATTTATATTTTGACCATTTATATTGATTTTTATGTTAGGAATAATTATGTCAGTGACATTTTTAATATAATCAAAGGGATTAAATATAGGATTTTTATTAGGTTGGTATCCATTATCCTGTTTGATATCATTTTCCTTAGCTTCAGTTGCTGATTCATCCCTATCAAGGTTATTTTTATCAGGAGAAGCAGGAGATTTTTTATCAAATGATGTAGAATTTATATTGATATTACTAGAAAAAATTGGACCAGAATCTTTATTTGGAGATGCTATATCCACATGAACATCCATACCTTATATAAAATATTTATATACATTAATATCCAAAAAAAATTAGATTATTTTATAATGAAAGCAAACTAAGTCTAATTAGAATATTAAAATTTAATCAATATAAATCTATAAACTAACCTAAAGGATCAAAGAGAGTATTGATGCTCTGACCAACACTTCTCATCAGACTACTCCAAAAGAAATTGCCACCATTTTTATTAAAGCCTTGTGTAAAGGTATCATTAAAATCATTATTTCTTTGTTGCCTGCCTGCATTAAAATTACCATTTAGGTTAAAATTAGGCAAATTAAAAGAACCAGATGTAAAAGGGCATGTAAATGGGAAAGGTGGAGGTGGGGGAGGTGGTGGAACAAATGTTTTCTGATTTTGATGAGGTAACCCATTTTTTGAAAACTTATCAAATCCACCCAAAAGGGAACCAAAATCATATAAATTTTGATTATTATCATAACTATTTCTTTTGCATGATGATGCAGTATTATTGCAGTAATTTTTGCCATTATTTGTGGAAGATGTTGAACAGGTAAAAGTGCTAGATCTCTAAAATAATCATTTAGAGTATTAAAAAAGAGGTAAATTAAATACTTTGTTGTCAGTTTTATTAGATTTTAGATTGTAATCTAAAATATGTGTATATAGGTCAGAACTTGTAATGTTTGTTGGTTTGTTAATCTTAAGCATTAAATGATTCTGTGTATGTTTGCCATTAGACTCACATGTAGAGCATAAATCATAATCATAGCAAACAGAACATTTAAATCGTGGCCCATAAATATAGCCTTCACATCCATCACAAATAATATTAGGATGATAAATTTCATTATTTTTTTCAGAGTAATCACATTTAATTTTAGTTTTTTCATTAATTAATTTAACATCAGAAAAATTATCTTTTTGGTTTAAAGAATTTATATTATCCATGCAATAAGTTTGAGACACATTAATTTCAATCACTTTTTCACCTTTAACAGCTTAAAATTTACAATGCTTAAATTATTATACCTTCTACATACAATTTCATTACATGATCTCTATTTAAAAGAATGGCTTCCTTAATTTCATCATCAGATGAAAGAGTTATCATATCACCTTCATCATCTAAATAGGAATCATTAATAAATAAGTAATCATAATATTTCACCTCTATATTTTATCGATTTAATAAGATTTTTAGTTAAATTTTCTATTGCACTTTTGACAGTCTCAAAGCTTTCAGCATTTTCTTTGATTAACGAAAATCTTTTGATAATTAATTCATTATCAAAATTAAAATACACCTTAAAATGTAAATTCATTTATTTTAAATATATCAAATTCAAAATATATTATTTCTTCAATAAAATTTTTGGATCGTATAACAAAGAACAATGTCGAATGATAGATTAATTTCTCCACGAGGATAAATATTTATTAGTCATAAAAATGTTAACATTTAACGAAATCAACATCATAAATAAAAAGACAAAATATTTATTAATATTTTATTAAAATAGCACCGTTAATTTTTAAAGAAGTTCTCATTATAAAAATGTTAACATTTAACCAATGCATTTAACGATCAACATCATAAATAAAAAGACAAAATATTTATTAATATTTTAATAAAATAGCACCGTTAATTTTTAAAGAAATTCTCATTTATTAGAAATTCTAATGATATGTACAATATTTTCAGTAAATAACAATGCTAAATATGAAACGCACACTTTCATTAACTTATGCAAAAATGTAACTAGTTACTTTAACAATGTAAAAGTTCTTATTATCGTAGCGATTTTTCTTTTATATAATTACGAATTTTCATAGTCCCCTAATAGAAATATTTTTATTAAGAATTTAATCGACCGATATTTATTTTTATATTCAATATCTATAAACTTTAAATGATTTTATATATAAATATTTACACATATATGTACAACTCAACTAATAATATATAAATAATACAAAATGATTGACATTACTTTGTAATAATCTGCGGCATGCCCGCCATTCATAAGCCCAGTGTCTTATCTCTTCCTAGTTCTTCGAGTTAGAATCTGATCTTCTGATTCATTCAATTATAGCATTTCTGGAATCGACCCAGCTTTCAGTATTTATAAAATTGCCCCTTTGAATTGTACCGACTTTATATTGAACATAAGTAAGAACAAACTTTTAAAATAAATATTTTTTTATCATGGCCTCCCTGCTTTATTCTGACGGAAGAGGAGTGGGGGCAAACCTGTAGAATAAAAAAAATGTTATTGAGGACTTTATTCTAATAGGAGATGCACCCTTGCTTGCTATCGACATTTTAAACCGATAACCAAAATGTAATCATAAATTTTCTAACAAAATCGGCCTAAATAATGCCTATTTCCAGACAGAACGTTTATTTCATGGAGGTTTCCTACGCATATTTTCAGAATTTTTTTATCAGACAAAGATTATAATTTACCTAATTTATACTTTTAAAATTTTACTGCGGAATAATTACGACTACAATTATTGAAAGGCATTTATGGCTCAAATTAGTAATCAAAAAATATTTTTGTACTGGGAAATAATATTTTATTGTTTTTTTTTTAAATTTATAAATCATATAAATTACTTAACTGTTGCGGAGTTTCAGGGAGAGGAAAATAAATAAATAGAATAAGTTGCTACCCTTGATAAAGTAAATTACTTTTCCTGGATAACGAGTTTTATTGGCATCCTTGTTAAAAAACCAACATAATTATTCGAGGAAGGATCTATGTATAATTAACATAAGCTCCCAAAGGGGCGGGCCTTAACATGAAAGTTTAAGGTGAAAATAAAATTGTTAACGGCCGATGTATAGGCGGGTACTGTATTGATACCGGCCAATATCTGATTCTAATAGATGAAAATTTTATCTTTCAGTTCACTCTACCAATAATTCATATAAATTTATTTATATTTTATTAAGCGCTAATATTGTCTATGCTCTATTTTCTATAATATATGTAATGAATGCGTTATATTATAATAACAGATAGGCATTAAGCTAATTGGTATCATAAAAGTTAAGCCATTACATTAATAATAATATTTTAAATGCAAAATTCTAAAAATAATTTATTTTCACGACTACAAAGATTAGTTGAATTCATTACTATGAAAAATATCATTAAAACTTTGATAAAAAGGGATTTGTTTTTTTAAAAAATATTAATATTTTATAATTATTATTATCTTTAATAATTTAATTTCAGTATTAAAATTATAATGGTTATAAATTAAGTTTACAAAATATATAAACTTGCCATATATTGTAATGAATATATATATAATAATCATTCTTTAAAACAATTTTACATTATAAAGTTAATTAAATATTTTACAAATAACAAAATATATAATATAAAAATAGGCTAATTGACGTTTTATGAAACCATAGGTTTCTTTTAAAATAAAAGCATTGATTTGCATTGATTTGTCATATAAAATTTTACAAGTCAACAGCTCCAGCATTATGATGACTCGTTCGATTTAGTCAGGAGCTTTGAATCACGGCTCCAATTTGCGTAATTTTATGATAATCGGAACTATACATATAAAAAAATTAAAAGTTTAAATAATATGCAAAGTTTTTGATCAATATACCTTGCTAATATATTGCTTATTCTTAATCTCCAATTTGGGTTCAAATCTTAGGAACAGATCCCGATTTGAAAAAAAAAATCTTTTGGATTCGGTTCGAGATTTTTAAAAAAATTTAAATCCGACTTGTGTTTTCTAAAATAATTTTTTAAAGTTTTGATCATTTTACTGCCCGGCCAAGATTCTTAAAATTTTAAAATCGAAAATATCTAGATGAATGTATCTTGATTAATTAATCCAATCTTTAGTTTTAAAATAAGCTCTGATTGATTCAGATTATCGCTCTCCAAAATCGACCCTAAAAATTTGATAGCTTTTTTTAAAAAAATAATTTCTTAGGGTTGGATTGTAAATAAAAACAATTAGGTCGATAGATCTGTATAAGAGATATCTAGGGCTGTGCCGATATTAAATATCGGATCGGCACCGATATCTCGAGCTTTCAAAAATATCGGATCAGTCCGATACCTGTAAAAAACCCAATCCGATCTTTTTACTTTTCTTTTTTGTTATTTTATGTATATTTATTTTACATTAATAATATTTTCTAAATAATTTTTTTTAAACAAAGCAAATGCACAACACCTCTTAAATTTTATTTATTTTTTAGAATAGATTTATAGTATTTTAAAAGTTTTTTTATAAAAATAGAAACCTGATTATTTATTTTAAATCTTTTTAAATAATGCCAATTTTATTATTTATACTTTAAATAAAAGAATTTTTTTTAATATGTTATCTGAATTATGGAAATATTTTACAAAAGACAAAAATAATTTTGCAAAATGCATTATTTGCTGAATTCTAATTTCACGGGGAGGAATAATGATAAATTCATTTAACACTACCAATATCCACTGTTTTAAATTATTTTAGAAATAAAAAAATTAAATTAATTGCATAATTCGATTTTTTACATAAAAAATATTGATTTCTTAATTACATTTGGTTCGAAGAAGGGTGGTGAAAAATCAATCGGTATCGGATCGGTTTTTAATCAATATCGGAAAATATGGTATCGGATCGGTGAAAAATATGTGGATCGGCACAGCTCTAGATGTCTAATTCCGATAATATAAATTAATTAATATGTAAAACGTGGGTTGTGGCTATTTAACTTAATTTTTTATTTTAAAATTGGTCTTCTTATTCTTTCTTTCCTCTTAAATTCACAGTATCATAAAGCTAAAATAATATACATTTGTAAAAAAAACTAACCCAATAACAATGTCAGAACCGTCGATAACAGCAAGCCCAAGACTAATTTCACCTATATTATTCGTATAATTTATTTTTAAAAATATATTTTTTATATAAAAACATTTTAGTTTAGATAATAGGATCGTAATAAATTCCTCCAAATTTCCCATTGAATAAAAGGTCGATAATTTTTTTCAATTTAATTTATTTTATAATATTATCGAAATTATATTATAGATTTATATATATTAAATGTACTTTTCTTTAATATATATTTTTTTATAAAAAAATTGTTATATAGGCTGCTAAAGAAAATTATATTATAAATATCTTCTCAACTATGTTTTTTTTTTAAATTCTTCCGATAAATTATTTAGTTCGTGCTATAGACATGCTTATTCTAGAATGATCATATAGGGTCTCCATGTCAAATCGATCAAAAAAAATCAATTTTCGCGGAACCTCTTTTTATATAAACTAAGGTACTCGAGCAGTGTTCAAATTTTAGCATCCTAGCTCTTATATTTTTGGAGATATCAAGGGTCAATGTATGAAAAATGACCTATTTTTACGCTTATAGATTGTCATTCAATCAAGGATTTAATAAAAACTACAGAATTATAAATAATGACTCTATATTAAATAAAGTGTAAATACCCCACTGTGATTTAAAATCCTTGTAAAAAATCGTTCGTTCCTCCGATTCGATTATAATAAAATTATAAACAAATGTCACTAAATCCAATCTATATCTGTATAAAAAAAATTGGAATGTTAATTTTATGGCAAAGATGGATAAATGTTAATTAATGGTTCTAATATTATTTAAAATATTTTCATATATAGCAAAGTGTTATTCTTGCTCCATATGAATTTACTTGTATACCAAAATCAAATCAATGCAAGATGAAATCAATCTTATTTTAAATTGAACTAAAAATTGTTGTTTTTATTATAACCGTTTTTCTATTTATATATATTTATTTATTTGAAAACAATTTAGATTAATAAAGTATTTTGGCGTATAAAATCTAAAATCCATTATACAATAAAGTATAAGTAATTTAATAAAAATTATTTAAGTAGTATCATGTTGAGCACCTCAACTAATAACCAATAAAAAATAATAAGTATTTAAGATAATAACAAGTAGTATCAATCAATAAATATAAAAATGTTAATTTATTTCAATTTAATAAATTAAAATGTTGACCATCTAAACACAAAGAATCTACCACATATTTATATAATATTTTAATTTTTATTGGTAAGAAAATATTTAAAAAACAGTAAATTACAATTTATTATGCAATATTTTCAAAAGATATTTTTCAAGCTATTTAATCACAGATTTAAAAAAAATATTTAGCATGCATATGTGTTGTAGATTCTTTAATATACAAATATCATAATAAATATTTTTAAAACAAAAACTTGGCATTCCAATTTTTTTTTACAGATTTAGATTGGTATTAGTGATATTTGCTCAAAAATTTTACAAAAATCGGAAAAACTCATTATTTTTTACAAGAAAGATTTTAAACTTTAGAATGGGATGAAAGGAATGATCAGCTAAAGATAGAAAATCCTATGAGGTTGGAAAATAGGGATTTCAGAATTTTTATTGTTAAAATATTGTTATATTTTGTGAAGAAATTAAAGGAAGTAGCTATTTACATATTTTGCAGTGAAACCATAAAAATAGCTGGTTAATTTAATGTCTCATTTACATCAAACACTCCCAAACGTTTATTTGTCTAAGGAAGCTAATTATTGGGAAAAACTATCCCAATTTGCATTTAAACTCCTTTGATTATATCAAATAGCAAAATTTATTTGTCTACTAAAAATATTATATTAAAAAATGATAAGTTATATAAAACATTTAAGCATGTAAATCTAATAACCTTTCAAAAGTAACGTTTATAAAGAATAATAATAGATTTAAATTTTTAATATACCAAATAAGGCATTTGCCTTACTTGCAAGGGAATTGCACAATACTATTTTAAATTGTCCTCTGAAATCTCTATAAAAATATATATTAATCCTGCAAGACATCTGTGATTTAAAGATCTGCAAAAGTAGGCCGCCTAATTTTTTTAAAAAAATCGGGTTTAGGTCGGGTTAGGCCTAATATTTTTTTTAAAAATTTGGGCCGAGTTAGGGTCAGGCCTTGGAAATTTTTTTAAATGTATCTAAATTTATCAATTTTATATTGAATTTTTTATGTAAAATAAAAATATTTGATTTAATTCATAGAAACTAGAAGCCATATAACATATGTCTTTTATTTTGAGTAACTATAAAAAATTTTCTATATTTAAATATTCGGGCCGTTAAATTATTTTAAAAAAAATTTAGGGTTTGGGCTGGGCTGGCAAAATTTTTTAAAAAAAATTGGGTTCGGGTCGGGCTGGCAAAACTATTGTAAAAAAAATTTTGGGCCAGGCTGGGTTTGAAAAATTAGGCCTGATGCAGATCACTACTGTGATTTACAGAAGAGATATGAATAAATAAATTTGATATTAGATGATGAGTTACAGCTTTAAGTCATCAGTTCAATTTCATCTAAGGAACTATGTCTAATATCAAATTCATTTAAATTAAAAAAAATTGACCATATTTATTACTCTACCAATCAGAATACAAATATATATAACTAATGAAAGACTATTAAAAAAGGTAGTTTAAATTTATAAATAAATGTTATAACCCTTTCAAATAATTATATATAAATTTACCCTAAATTTTTTCCACCATACCTTCCTGTTCAATGAAAGTGTTGAATCATAATAATTATCTAGCGCAATAAATAAATAAAATATTATTATCATTATTTATTGATTGATTATAAAGTATCAATAACCCCCAGAGCCTGGCAAATTGAATTTTATTTGTCCCATACCCAGCCCAAAATATTTATCAATTATTAAGCAAAAGCCACCAATATCATTTATTTATTTTTGGGTCTAAGTATAGTCCAAATTTTTATTTTAGGCCTTAGGCTTGCACTTATAATTATTAATTTAAAAATATAACACATTTTTGTAAAATTAAATAAAAACCATTAATTCCTGTCCTAATCTTGGGGATATTATCATTTAAAAAAAATAAAACTATCATTTTCTATTTTTTTTAAACTCCAAGCCTGGCCAATTTTTTATATAATAAGGCTGGCCTTAATCTTCAAACTTTTAAATTTTTTTTTAGGTTTGAGCCTAATTATGGGCTAACTTGCAAGGCTCTAATAAAAAAACACCAAAAAGAGTTAAGATTTAAACTTGAATTAAAAAATACGTGAAGATTTTAAATAAAATGTATGTAAAATACATTTCCATATATTAATTAAATCATAAGGAATACAAATTTAAAGATCATTCTAATTATATTTCCCATTTAAATTCGAATTGAAACTCTAAAAAAATATATTGTTTATTTTTGGCTCTGGAAAATATATTTTAGGTAAAAAATAAAATCAGAGATGCACTGAATTTTAAAAAAAAGTTTTATACCTTTATTTCTTCTTTTCTTTTAATTTAATTGTATGAATTAATCATAAATAAATATAAAATAATAATATTGGTTTTTTTTTCTATTATATTATTAGTTGGTTGATACTGTGTTAATAACAAAGTTTAAAAAAGGTGGTATTAGTGCTGATTAAAAAATATATTGCATAAAAAACACTAATTAAAAGATTTTAAAGTTTATACTATTGCAAATATAATTATAAAAGCGCCACACAATTTCTCTATAGAAAATGAGTTTTTTAGAAATATTTGCAAATTGCAACAAATAATTTATAAGTAATATATAGTATACTTTAAGTAAATGTTTTAAGACCTGAGTTATAATTTAAATATTTTAATTGGTCCGAGGTATCAAAAAACTTTTCAAATTTTGAATAATTGTCTCGCATAATACCCAAAACTTGATTAACTTCCTGGGGAACTGCATTTCTATAAAAAGAATTTTTAATTAAAAAACAAATTCATATTACTGAATAATTAAAGGATCATCCACATCGGAAATGGGTAGCTTTAATAATTTTTCCTAATGCAAACTAGATATAATTTCGATTAATATTAAATAACTTGTTCAATTTCGATTCGTTTCATGAATATGCTGAAGTTTTCATTATATTTATATGACACTCCATCAAGTTATGGCATCTTATTTGACAGCACTCACGTTACAACATGGTTTCAAATATCTACAAAATTGAATATCAATTGAAAGATATACTTTTTTAAAAAATTCCATAACTATAATTTTAAAAAAGGAAGATATTTAATGGCTAATTTGATCAAATTCTTAGCCATTTGAAATAAACTAAATGGGCGTATGCAGAATCCCCCTACCCCTCCTAGCAGGAGCCATGTTTGATTTATATATTATTATTATGGGAATCTATATGAAAGTCATTGCACTCAGTTAAATTTAACTCTTTTATTCAACAGAGACTAATTTTGATAGCCAATCGGACTACGATAAAGTAGGGTGGGATCTGGGAATCACAATGACGATCTAATTCAAGGTAAATCACAAATAGTAATGGATAACAAACCGTGATGATTCAATAGTGAGAAATCAAGAATTCTAAAAAAGGACATAATATAGGTTTGGGATTAAGGATTGACAAATTTAAAAATTATATATATATCAATGATATATATAACATCATTGATATTGCTATAATACTAACAAAATAAAGAAAATGAAAAATGAAAATGTTATTTTTTTACGACATATTGCAAAATAATATAGAAGAATATTATTCAGAATAAATAGGATAAAAAATTTAAATAAAAAAATATAGACTATGCGCCCAAAGTCAAAATTTTTATTTAATCCCCCCTCCCCCCCCCCCCAATGAAAAATGAATAAATAAATTTTTTTATGATTAAAAAAATTGAGACCTAAAATCATTTTTATAAAAATCTAAAAGCCCCAAAAGGCCCACAATAAGTGTGGAAAAAAAAATATATAAAAAAATTTACTAAATTGATAATAAATGCTTGAAATTTAAAAAAAAACTATTTTATGGTTTTATTTATTATAAATGGTTATTGCCATTTTAGGGGGGAAAATAATTTTTTTATGTTATTTTTTTTGGTTATTTTTTTTGTTGTTTTTTTTTTTATTTTTTTTTATTATTTTTTTTTGTTATTTTTTTTTGTTATTTTTGTTATGATATCAATTTTTCATTTAAGATACTTTAAAAATGCTTTTTCTACAAATTTTTATTTAAGATATTTTAAAAATGTTTTTTCTACAAATTTTTATTTCAGATATTGTAAAAAAGTTATTTTTACAAATTTTAAGATATTTTAAAAAAGTTTTTTCTAAATTATAAGCCATAGGCGAAGCCAGGATTTTTCTGGGAGGAGGGGCACTATTAGGTATTGTTTTTTTCTAAATTTGAGGTTATGTCTACTTATTGTGGGTCTTTTGAGGCTTTTAGATTTTTATAAAAATAATTTTAGGTCTCACTTTTTTTTGATAAAAATTTTGAATTATATAGTTGTTATTTTAAAGTTATTAACTTTTACTAATTTTTCTTCCAAATTCAACTTTATAGTGAATTGTATAAATATTTTGGGGAAAGGGGATGGGGGTGTAGGTGGAAATTTTTTTATGAGCATATAATGATACTCACGAGAACAAGCAAACCCTCGTAGGGAATAGATTTTCCTCCTCCCAGAGCTGCGCCTATGTTTTTTTATCTAAAAAAAATTATTGACCAAAATTTAATTAAAATAGACATACTATTTAACATAAACCGTTAGAAAATTTTATGCACAGCCCGGATTTTTTGAAGATAACATTTTCATGCTCCGACCAGATTTTTTTTTTTTTTAAATCTTTGACTTCAGGCTAAGATTTTTTTATACATTCAAAGAGTCCATTATTTTTTTTGGCAAATTAATACAAATTTGATTAAATTTTGAAAGTTTTTTTTTAATTCTGAACATATGCTTTAAATTTTTGATTTTAGTCCCTATAGACAATTTATAATCCTTGATTTTAAAATCTTGACACCTTTAAAAATAGGTGATTCTCTAATTATTATTATTAATTAATTTAAAAAATTAAAAGATCCAATTTTATTTAACAACGAATATCTACGCATGAAACTTTTGATTGTAAATATTTATTAGATAGATCAACAATTTTTATATTCAACAATAACTTTAACAATTTAATGATGTTGATATGATATTCTATTTATTACAAATCATGATATCTCGTATTCCTGATTTTTTAGAACTTAAAACTTTTTAATTGATGCTATAATTTTGATGTTTGATTAGACAAAAAAAAAGGATAAAGATTCGGGTTTCATGTCAATTTAGCAAACTTTACGCAAATGTTGTTCATCGTGAATGGATTTTAGGGCAAATCTTTTATCACGAATTTACATTAGCTAATACCATTCCGCGAAGACTATCGCGAAGCAAATATGGGGAATTTTTTATTGCAATATCCTTATCGCGAAACCTTTAAAGCGAATACATCACAGTGAAACTCTTATCGCGAATTTAATACGAATACATTACAACGAAACCCAAATCGCGAAAATAATATGGAGAAAACTATTTCGTGAAACATATATCACGGATATTAAAGCGAATTTAATATGACGAGGTTAATATTGCGATAATTACCAATAGTGACTATTTAATTTAAAAACATTTATTATACTAGTAGAAAGCCCGTCAAAAATGACCGGGAATGAGATTTTTATTCATTTTTTTACGATATATGTCATGCCAGATCCAAGCTCACAATGTTAGGAAGCATATAATTAGTAAAAAGTTTATCCAGCCCAGCTCAACCCTTAATAATTTGTTAAAGATATTCACATGTCAGGTGCAAGCTAATATAAATTTTGAGGTTCCAAGCCCAGTCGTATCCAATATAATTTTGAATCCCACTTCGGAGATAGTTAAATTTTTAATTGATTTATCATCACATGAAGGGGAATTATCTGATTTATCAATTAGTTTAAGATGTAAAAAAAAACATGTGAATTCCGTATTAAGGGAAACTGGGAAGGCCGGGGCTATACCTAAAACGAATTTTTGTTATTCGATATTCGATTCGATTCGTATTTTACGAATACGAATAACACAATTATTCGATTCGAATATTCGAATCGAATTCGAATAAGGAAAATATATTATTCGTCGAATAATTTTTTATCTATTATTCGATCGAATTATTCGAGATTATTCGACTAAAATAATTTATAGTATTAATATATATTGGAAAATAATCATGTATAAATCATATATTATTATTAGGAATTATTTGAAATTATTTCAATTTAATAAACTCCTAGTGGAATAATGAAAATGCGCCAAATTTTGAAACTCCATTTTTATTTATCTCATAATAGACCATTACTTTAGAAATTTCTATTATGATTGTGGATGGGCTCATCTCATAGGTTACCCCCAAATTTCTTAACCCAATTAGATGGGATGAGATAGTCCAAGCGTAGCTCTGCTGTTTCATATAGCGATAAAGGGTAATTGCGCTTATTATGACGTATGACGTATGAGATGGACGAAGAAGGTAATTTATATAACACATAACATATACAATTATAATAAACTGTTAATCCCATCACATCAAGAATGACGGGCAAACCTGATATTTCTCTTTCATTTGATGATGGAGAAATCATAAATTTGACTTTTTGCCTAAAGTTTTTACCACTTTATTTGTAAAATATTGCTAATGTGAGTTTTTCGTACTTATTTAAGTTGCATAGCTTTTTGACAATTTATTATTTCCCCACATTAAAAAGAATATTACTTTGACTTATATATTATTTTAGTTTATGTTAATAACAACAAAGTAGTGTTTGGGATTAAAGATCATCATTGAATCTCATTAAGAATTTCTTATTGCCCAAATCAAATAATCTAAAACTTTCATTATTCTACTATGAATCAAAATTCACAAAAATTTATATTATCTTTATAAAATTATATTCTTGATTCTTTTCCCAATATAATTAAATTTTATGAACAGTGTTTGGAATTAAAACCTATAAATCCAAATCATTTTTGTTAAAGGAGGAAACAATCCGAAAAACTTTATGTTTGAAAAATTGGCTGTTGTCAGATTTATCTTCTACATTATAGATATGAATATTATATTGATTTTTCCACATTGTATATAAATATATTATATATGTATGCTTCTATTTTGTCTCACTAATAAAATTTGTTTGTCTTTATCCTTAGTTAAATTTTACAAAATAAATTTTATAATAGATCTTTTTTAATTCATGGTAAATAAAATTTTCGAATCGAATCGAATAATCATTTTATTATTCATACGAATACGAATAATTCCATTATTCGATTCGTATTTTTGTAGGGCAAACCACTTATTAAAGAATTATTACAAATAAAATAAAAATAACCGACTCTTATACTTTTTGGTAATATGATCAATTATAATTATATATAAAAAATAAATTGTATATAGGGTTATTGTAGCTTTTCGGATAAATTTAATGTATGTCTTGCATTTCCCAAATTATTTGTCTATATTTTATGTTAAGTAAAAAAAATGCTATCTATTTAAATAACAAAAATGACATTAAACACTAATGAAACTTATATGCAAATTATAAAATATTTTTTATTGACATATAAAGTTAGGCTAATTTTTTTAAAAAATAATGAGGAATAATTATAATGTTGTGTATTTGATAAAATTAAGAGCAAATAATTGTTGACATTTTAATTTTTGATGGAAAAAGCTACAAAATAAATCTGGAAGGTTGTCTGGAAAGGAAATAATTAATGTACAATTTCATATCATTTAGGGTTGTAGATGAAAGTAATGACGGATTCAAGAGAAGTGTACAAAACACAATACGTCCTGGTAAAGATGAGTCATATGCCTATGCCTTGGGATACTGGTAAAAGAAGAACCCAAAATGATATTTCTGTCAATGTCAGCATTGGTAGTTTCCTCTAGAATAGAATCATAAATGACAATGTTAACTCAGCCATAAAAACGCAGTAAGAATTGTTATAAAGGCACGACAGAATTACTGCATATTTTTCCATTAATAAAGTTGATGAAAATGGCTGTACTGCACATTCAAGTTTGAACATTCCTCTAAATAATCATGAAAGTTTCTCAGAGAATCGGATAAAGTAATATTTATAATAACTCCTAGTGAAATGAATAATAGTACGGAATTGAATGCTTATATTTTTTAAAAAATAGGCAGAGGTTGCATAGGGATTGTGGTAGTGGTGATAGAAATATCATTTGGAGGCAACTGGGTGAAAATAAAATAAACATATAAATATAAAACATAAGATAAGAAAAACAAAATAAACTTCCAGAGGAGTTAATTTCAAGCGTAGTTCTTTATTATTTTGGCTACGAGTAACTCTAGAACGGGCAAGGCGTTTGTTTATTCGTCATTATTTTTTTGCTTATCTTTAATAGATTCATCATGTTTTGTAGCAATGTGAGGGATTAAGGTTGGGTTAGCCTAGACAAATAAAGAAATCAGGCAAAAATATAAATAAACATTATTATTGAAATAAAACGAACATTAAAATTCTGTAAACCAGTAGATGGGTCATTATTAGATGAATATATCTAGTAGTTGGAGGGATATATTCAAAAAAATTAAGGGGGGGGGGGGTATTAAATTTATAATTAATGAAGGGGAAATCTCTGATTTACCAATTAATCTACGGGTAAAATATAATACTTTATAAAAAATATTAACATAAGACTAACATTTAACATTAAAAAACCCCAATATAGGTTCAAGCCTACAATATTTGGAAAAAATTTCTAAGCATCCAAGATCTTAATAATTTAAAAAGATTTTCTCAAGCCCATTTCATCCCTAATAATTTTTGAAAACCAAGCCAATATTAATTTTGAGAAATATTTTTTAAGCCCAGTCCAACCCATAATTTTGAAAAAATTTTCCCAAGCCTAGAGATATTAAATTTATTGGATTAACTAAGTTATGAATTTCTATATAAAATATTAATAATTTGTAATATTTAGTAAATAATGTATTACTTTGATAATTGGTTTTAATATGGCCTCCTACAGTTGCACTAATTTTGAAAAATATCTTGTGAATTGGTAATAAGGGAAACTGAGAAAGCCCGAACAAAGCACTTATTAAAGAATCATGACAAAATAAGGTCTGCCCTAATATTATTTATGTTTTTTTTTACATTTTAAACTAATGGGTAAATCAAATATTTACCCTTCATGTGATGAAAAATCAATTAAAAATTTAGCTATCTCCTAGGTCGGAAAAAATTTCAAAATTATATTGAATACGACTGGGCATGGAACCTCAAAATTAATATTAGCTTGAACCTGACATGGGAATATCTTTTACAAATTATTAAGGGTTGAGCTGGGCTTGATAAACATTTTTATAATTATATGCTTCCTAATATTGTGAACTTGGACCTGGCATGACACTATCGTAAAAAATGAATCCCCGTTATTTTTGATGGGCTTTCTTAATAATTTGTAATATTTAGTAAATAATGTATTACTTTCCTATGTATAAACATTGGTATAAAAGAGAATTATGACAAAATAAGGTCTGCCTTAATATTATTTATGTTTTTTTTTTACATTTTAAACTAATTGGTAAATCAGATATTTGCCCTTCATGTGATGATAAATCAATTTAAAATTTAACTATCTCCAAGGTGGGAAAAATTTTCAAAATTATATTGGATCTGGGCTTGGAACCTCAAAATTTATATTAGCTTGCACCTGACATGGGGATATCTTTTACAAATTATTAAGGGTTGATCTGGGCTGGATAAACTTTTTAATATTATATGCTTCCTAATATTGTGAGCTTGGACCTGGCATGACACTATCATAAAAAATGAATAAAAATCTCATTCCCTATCATTTTTGATGGGCTTTCTTAATAATTTGTAATATTTAGTAAATAATGTATTACTTTCCTATGTATAAACATTGGTATAAAAGAATGACAAAATAAGGTCTGCCCTAATATTAATTATGATTTTTTTACATTTTAAACTAATTGGTAAATCAGATATTTACCCTTCATGTGATGATAAATCATTTAAAAATTTAAATATCTCCGAGGTGGGAAAAAATTTGCAAAATTATATTGGATACGACTGGGCTTGGAACCTCAAAATTAATATTAGCTTGCACCTGACATGGGAATATCTTTTACAAATTATTAAGGGTTGAGCTGGGCTTAATAAACTTTTTTATAATTATATGCTTCCTAATATTGTGAGCTTGGACCTGGCATGACACTATCGTAAAAAATGAATAAAAATATCATTCCCCATCATTGGGCTTTCTTAATAATTTGTGATATTTAATAAATAATGTATTACTTTCCTATGTATAAACATTGGTATAAACTCAAGACTTGATCAATGGACATGGGAATATCTTTTACAAATTATTAAGGGTAGCTGGGCTTGATAAACTTTTTTATAATTATATGCTTCCTAATATTGTGCCTCCTACAGTTGCATTAATTGATGACGTAGTGAGGACACCGGAAAATTATAATATAGATGATCATATTAATTAATATTTTTTAAAAAATAGGTACGATTGATTCAATGATAGATTTTTAATTTCCTTTTTGTAGTAATACAACTACTAATTTATAAACAATACGACTACTAATTTATATTTCAAACATCAAATTTTATATTGATTAATTTTCGAATATTCTATTCTATTTTTATATATAATATCTATAAATAATATTTTATTAATTTATTACACTTTTAGCCTTAATAAATCTATATAATGATTAGTGACCTATTTGGTTTATAAAATTTATCATTGAAATAAAAAATTATGCTATCATGCCCTATGCTTTTCCTCGAAGTCTTATTTATAATAATCGCGTACAAGGAAAAAGGAACATAGGTTTTATTCATATATTAATCATTGAGTTCATTATTTAAACCTTGATTCTTATTAATATCTAGGTCGCGCCAATATTTATTGTCTGAAAACTTAATATTCATAAATTCATCAAGCAGCTTTGCCAGTCACTAACCAAAGACAGAGTTATATATAAGTATATCATAAACAATGATTTTAAAGAATTTGTTAACCTCTAATCCAGCAGTGAACATCTCTGATGAGATTAGACATTTCACTATTTATATGTTTAATTTAGCAAGATATAGTAGGGAACGAATTGGAAGTAATTAGAGATGTAAGCTTAAAAAGAATGGACATGAGACACTAGTGCACATCAATCAACTTTACAAACTGTTAAATATATTTTAATTTAGTTTGCTATCTTTTAGCCTTAAAAATATTCAATTAAAAATAGTTTTCTTTTTTTACCCTTCTTTTGTTTTGTCCTTAGTAAGGTGTTCAGGTAATATAAGTTATATGCCCGTAAGATTGCCCTGCATCCAGAGGTATAAGTAGAGTTCCAAAAAATATAGGGGGGTAGTTTTTATCCCTAATTATGTAAGATAAAACTAACACAACTCCTCTTTTGCAAAAACGTTCTTTTTTTCACTTTGGGCCAATTTTATTTTAATTTATAATTGCGTGTTTTATTTTCCCTATAAAAGGAACAAATTTTTATACTTAAAGATATACTTTGTATTTTAGTTTAAAATATAATATTCGAATAAAGATATACTTTTTTGTGTTAAATAAATTATGATATAGTTTCTTTTGGAGAATAAATTTGAAGAATAAATTTTATAGTTTAAATATTTTTGACGTATAAAACTTTTTAATTTGATTAAGATTAATAAAATTTAAAGTAAGAATTCTGACTTGAACACCCGTTATCTGACAATCCCACTTTTTATGATATTATTCCCGGAATAGTGAAAAATAAAATTTATTAAATAAAAATTTCCCATAATATCAAAAGCCTCCATTTTCTTATCAATTCGTCCTTCTATAATAACCTAAGATTGCGAGATTTAAATCACATAGAGCGATAAAAGTGGTGTATGGCTCATTATTTTAGTAGAAACCAGAAGATTCAGCAATATAGAAAATTCGGCAGATAATTTTATAGCCCACGCCCTGCACAACTTTCATTAAAGTTATTAATGAGATTTTGCAAAGGATAAATGTAGGAGAAATATATTTGTCTTGTTCGCTTTCAAAATGTCATTGCGATTATGATGATGGTTATAGCTGTTATTTTAAACATCAGTTCAAATAAGTTACCAACTCGATGGTCATTTACTTTTATCAAACTACTACTCCTAACTAAAATTCGATAAAATACCACGATTCTTTTTAAAGCCCGTCCCTTTTATCTATGGATAATAAAGTTTAAACGTTACAAAAATAAGGAATCATTTAATTTCAAAATATTAGCCAATCTGTTTTGTATAATTTTTTTCCCTCTTTTATTAATGGGGCTAAATATTATTTCTATTAAAAAATACATATAATGTAATTTATAAATTTAGTCGTATAATAATATATAAGAAATATATAAATAATATAACAACATATTTCCCTGAATAGTTTTTTAGGATTAAAAATTAACTATATATAATATTAGTCAAAAGGTTTTAAAAAAAAATTATTTCAATTTACGATAAATGAATTTACTTCAGTAAAACAAATTATAATTAAACCTAAAATCTAATAATTATATTCAGATAGTTTAGACTATATTTTCCCCAGAAATTTCAAGGATCTTAGCCTTAAGACGCTCAAACCAATCATCGCCTTTCTTAAGTAGCTGAAACTTGATAGGTAACTCTTTAAGTTTGACAATTTTGGTGGGCATATGTTGAAGTAAATTGAATCTTTTATCGCTTTCCAAAACTTTTTCTTTTTTATCTTTATTTCTACTTTGATTTTCTTTTTCCTCCTCTCCGTTTTCGTTTTTATGATGACCTTGAGAATCTAAGCTATTTTTGATAATGGCTATGGATTCCGGAAATTTAACGTAAGACGCAGTCGAAATGCATATAACAGGATATTGGAAGGCTATTCTTTAGGGTAAATAATTTTTAACGAGACGTATATAATAATAAATAAATCAGAGTTTTAAAAAAATTTCCAAGCAAGAATCTCTTGAAAAATTTTATATGCATGAAAATTATAGTGCGCACAAATTGGACTGCGTTTTGCGTGTTTAAATCAAGGTTGCCTTTTTATTAATATTGTCGATTCAAAATTTTATAATCTGTTTGCATTTTTTAAATAGTTGCTATCGCCAAACGTTAATTTTACTAATTTGCACGATGCCATTTGAAATGCATTATTTGCGTTTGAAACACTCAATTTGTGCGCATCATTACAGAAGATATGCTTATAAAATAAAATTTACAAAAGATTTTGGCATTTATTAGGTAAAATTTGATCAAAAATCTCTCATTTAAAAAAAATCTGCTAATAATATTGATTGATAGGTTTTTTTACTTCTAAATTTATAAACATTCAATCAAGCTTTTAAAAAAGGATGTAAGAAAAATATTATTTAGGCATGATCGATAAAAACCTGCTTAGCTCAAACAGAAAAGTTTAATAAATATGGTTCAAAATTTTATAAATGGAAAAAAATATAACAACTGGAGATACTATTTTTTGGGAAAAAAATCATACTCATCTTTGCGATCGTAATAATATGCCACTGCAACCGCTGTATGGGGACAAAGTATGTATTCGTCATCTTTCCAGCATCGTAATATAGTTCTTCTAACCCCTTCATCATCGCATGCATAGCCTCTTAAGTCTTTTTGAATCTACATGATAGTTTATTCAATAAATACATTTGATGAAATAAAAAACTTTCCCTAATTAAAATAAAAAGATTAATTGGGTCCCTAATTCTTTCATATAAAATATAACTAGGCAAAAATTTATAAATCCTTTCTACCAAACCCAAAATTTCCCGAAATGTCACATATGGCAAAATCCCTAAGTAAAACTTTAAAAATTATATTTAAAAAACTTCGTTTAAAAGATCTGGTGGTATTGAAACATTATGGTATTTTTCAAAATCGTTCATTATTTTAGCGGTGAGGTCGGCGTTTCTTTTGCTGTAAATATAAAATATTCTTTCCATATTGTAAGGACACTATTTCAATATATGAGAAAAAAATATTGTTTATTAAAAAAAATGTTAATTAATATATTTTTTTAAATCAAGTATTTTTTTTTCGTCATAGCTTGAAGGATAACGCGTCTTTTGGACGCATTCTAGTGTTAAAAATTGAGCGTTTAAATACTGCGTTGCGAACGCAAATAAGGTATATGAAACCAATTTACAGATACCATTTAAAATGCATAATTTATGTTTACACTGTAACGTTTGACATTTATATTTTTAAACACTATTATGAAGGATGAACCGTTAAAGAACAGACTGTAGCCGAAAGGAGTGCATACGATTCACTAACGGATTTTTATCAAACATAACCCTCAATATTGGTTTCAAGAGGCTAAATTTTTGATTTTATGTTTCCTTATGTTATAAAACTACAATACCAAATTTTATTAATATTGAAAGGGTAGGGTTGAAAAGATCGATTTGAGATGGAATTATATATTTGAGCTTTTAAAAGTATTTTTCTTAAATGAGCAAGTAGTCATGATCAAAAATTTAAATATTACATTATAGACAGACTTTTCAAAACTTGAGAAAAAGAACTTAACTAATTTTATTATAAATACGAATTTCTTAGTATAGATTTCAAAACATATTCTATTATATATTACTACTTAGTATAGATTTAAAAACAAATTCTAGTATATATTTGATAATGTTTATCGCCTCGCATTCATCACAGCAAATAGAATCTTTACGGTTTAAATTTAAAGAGACTTAGAACTTCCATGCTTTAATTTTTTTTTAAATTAATTCAAAGATTTTGATCATGATTTCTTAGGATTTCTATTGTATATTAAGCACAAAACTGAGGCAGATTTCAAATCTCCAATTCATTTAAAGGTAACTTGTATATCCATTGAGACCGAGAGGGTTTGCTGAAAAGGTTTTTGGGAAGAGAAATCCCCCCTATTAATAGTTCTGGCTATCACATCATTAGCGTTAACGGCCATCGTTATTTTTAAAGGAATTC